CCCATCATATCCCAGACATGCTCGATGGGAGAGAGATCTGGTGATCTGGCAGGCCAAGGAAGAGTTTGACAAGCTTGCAGACAGTTCATAGCAACACGTGCCGTATGTGGTCTGGCATTGTCCTGCTGAAAAACCAGCCCAGGGCGATGCAAAAGGAACGGTAGCAAAACAGGCCTTAGGATGTCGTCAACGTACCGCTGAGCAGTAAGTGTACCCCTAATGACGACCAAAGGGGTCCGGCTGTCAAAGGAAATGGCACCCCAGACCATAATGCCTTGTTGAGGGACCATAATGCCTCGGTGTGGCGAGCAATAGTGAAGGCAGGATCCCCCCTCTGCCATGTGCGTCTCCAAATACATCTTCGATAATCGTCAGGACACAGTTGGAAGCGGGATTCGTCGCTAAAGACTATACGTCCCCAGTCGGCATCATTCCAGCCTGATCGAGCGTCAAATTTGCGCGTCTTAGTGCGTTCTTGGTGCGTCGATTTTTTTGTCATAGAGTGTATTAATATTGATACATGTTCTACAATTTGGGGTTCCAGTTTGCCTGCTATGTAATAATAATTTATCTTAATCAATGCATACGATTAAAATTTTAGTGAGTGACCACAAAATGATAAAAGTATTTAAACTAAAATAACAAAGTTTAGTTTTGTTATTTGCCTCTTTATTTAAATTAGTATTACAAAATACCATACAAGAATATACCATGTAGCTGTTCTTTGACATATTGATAGTTTTTGACTTAATTAACATTTAATACATAAAAATTTATTGATAATCAAAAAGAGAAATATTTCCTTTTTATGTTAGAAAATTAAAATAAAATATATACAATAATTATAAATAGCCACACCTTTGACAACCCATTTTTAAGAAAACTTACTAAAAAAATTATTTTTAAAGTATCAATATAAATTACAGAGCAAAAATAAAAAGGAATTTGTTTACAAAATATTGGCATGTAAATAATGTGCCAAATCCAATGCACGTGCTTTGTTGAAAAAGCAGTAAAAATATCCAAACTTTTATGTCAATATGAAATTTAATTGCAGTGAAAATACCTGTATATGTTAACTACATTATAATTTATCAATTTAAATAAACATATAAAAAAATAGTAGCTATTTTACAAGTTAAAAATCTTTTAAATTCATTTTATAACCTTTCGTGCTAACATATGAATTACAAATAAATGTCTAAAAACGAATATAAAAGAATAAAAATTTTATTTGTGAACTGTAAAAGGTTCTGCTTTTATGATTTTTTCTTCACATTCGAATGCACAGCAATAAGCGAACACTTTTAATTTAATTTTATAGTTAAACAGCTCAGTAATCCATCTCCATAGTAAGAAACTGGGGATAGGGTTAACTTGAGAGAAAACCGTCCTTGAATCACGTGACAAGGGAAGGGGGAATGGATCTTTCTGTGTAAATTACTCCTGTAAGGTCTGTACGCATATGTTTATTACATTAAAAAGCATTTAAAAAATTACGAAACAAATAAATTTTAATAAGTACAAAAAAAAATTTCAATAAAATTTAAATAATACATTCTCTTTAGAAATTGAAATTTTATAATTTTGTCCTCATGAAGTTTAAATGTTACATTTTTGCCACAAATTAATTATATCTGAAGTATTTAAAGTAAAGAAAAACTGCAAGAATGAGTAATAATTACAATTACAATAAACAAGGTTGGTAAGATTTTGACTTGCGTCAATTTTTGACAATGGATAAAAACGTTATCAAAAACCCCAAAAATTGTATTTAAGCTAAATTTCCATTCCAACAAAAATTACTAAAATATTATTCTTACATAATGCTTAAGGTCAAACATTCTAATTATAGGGAGAGAAAAAAAAACTTTGAGCATTCTAATAATTATCAATGCCATCAAGTTCCTCATATAAAAAGTTTGAAAAAATTGAAACTTTAAGTTTAATTAACTAGGCGATCACTGATAATTATTTAATGATGGCTTTACTAAAAAGCTTGTTAGTAAAAGTTCTGTTACACAGCAGGAGTTCAAATTTTGTGAAAATGATTAAATAAATTACTTTTTATGGAAGGTGGGTGAAGGTGTTAAGAAATTGCTGAAAGATAGTAAGAAAAATATTAAAGAGAAAATGAAAAAACATTTTTCTATCCTCATTGATTATAGGTAAGCGACAAATTGACTCATTTGACATAAAAAATGAATTGCAAAAAGATATTATTTGTGATCTCTTCCCATGCACGAAGATTTTCTGAACTGTCCAAAAAAAACTGTTTATAATCTAGAAGTAAAAAAAACTATCTGCTAAAAAATAAAAAAATAATTTCTTACAAATTCTGTTATTTGGTTGCAGGCTTAGTCAGGATTTATCCCATTTTTTAAAATCATTTTTGCATAAAATTTGAATTTTAAAGTAATTTAAATTTTTAACAACACATTTTTTGTTTACACTTTTTATTAACCTTGACAAATGAAAATTTTGCTACATACATGTTAGGCGTAATTATTACAATATTTGTCTGGGATCATGACTGTGTTAGCACCACAAACATATTAGAATTGAAATTATGAAGATTGTGTTGGAGAGCAGATTGACTAGTAAATTCTACTACCAGGCAAAAATGTTTGACCTGCTTTAAGCATCGGAATAATTTATAGCAAATAATGACATATTTCAATTAAGTACAAAACACACTGACTTTGAATGGTTCACCATAAATAGATTCTCCTCCTGTGCCATCTCCATTGGGATCACCACCTTGAACAATAAATCCTTTGATTAGACGGTGAAAAATAGTGCCATCATAGTATTTTTCTAAACACAGCTGGACGAAATTACGACAGGTTTTAGGAGTTTCTTTTGACCATAATTCAATATCAATATCCCCAACAGTGGTTTTTAACAAAACCTAAAGGGTAAGAAAAAAAATTGGTATCAAAATGTTTATAATGAAATTTTAGTAAAATAATAACAGTTCATTCATTTAAAAATATAGTTTGGAATATATCTTGGAAAAAATGCTTCACTAATAATAAAACTTATTCATAAGCATATAATTGATTTTAATAACAATCATATTTAGGGTTCACACCAGTAATGAAAATTTAGTGGCCTAATAGGACCACATTGGTATTTATTTAGTGATCTAAAACTTTAATATGGTAGACAAGCTTGAGAAGAAAAAAATCAAGCTTTACAGTTTCAACAATTAAATTTAAAAATTTTTGTACGAGATACTTTCGGTTATTTAATTTGAATTACAAACCATTTGCAGAACAATAAAATTAGTACAACAAATTTTTTTAATGCATGGAATTTGGTGCAAAAAACTATTCTTCATTAATATTTTCTAAATTCCAAACATATTTCAAGGTGACAAATTTACTGCTCGGGAATATAATTTATGCGACATTTGTAGAATATTTCTCTGCAATTTTTGCCACGCTGACATTAACCTTAATTAATTTACATATCAAATAGAATTTGCATAATAATAATTCAGTGTTTGCGCTAACTTGTTATAACGTGTCAAATATCGGGTTGAGTAAAAAGTTTTCCGTCACGGAAAAATACCTCCGTGCCATCAGCAGCCATTAACCTTTTCTGAAACGGGCTTTTACATTTTAAAGCTGAANAATTAGAAAGATGTCATTCACAGATTAACCTGTGTCTCATAAGCAAAATGAAACCAAATTTGAAGAAAAAAATACATAGTATTGATTCAATTACTAATTACAGTTTTTTCTTTCTTTTTTTTAAATCATAGAGTATTTATTTTTATTTATTTATTTTTTAAAATCAGAGTCATGCAAACCTTTGCATAGAAATTTATATCATTTTTATTAGGGACCCACTTTTGGCAAAGAATGGCTTAGAAATTTGGAAGTTCTAGGTCCCAAAGGATCCATATTTTTTTAAGTCAAGCGAAATCACAGTGATTTATATAGGATTGTCATTTACTAAACTTCTAAAATGTTACTCCTGAAGGTCAATATCGAAACAAGAATAATATGCCTAGCTATTTGAGGAAATAATTCAAAATACTCCCAGTACTTGCTGTATAATTGAATTTTTTCACAGAACTATAAATAAATAAATTAAATTTCTCCTGAAGTTATACTAACTCTTATTTTTAATATTATTATCTCTTGACTTAATCCTGCCAAGCTGCTTAAAATTATCAATTTTTTTTTCTTTTTAAGTTTACCTGTTAAATATTACTTTCCCACTGGTTATAAGCTGGGGAGATTGATTATGACAAATGATTTAAATAGAAAAGAACCTAGAAATTAGATACTAAATTCCTAGACTTTAGACAACAAAGTCTTGAATCAATAATAAATAATTAAGCATATTGAGTAATTGGTTTCTACAAACTACTCTAGACCAGAACTTACACATTAATAAAGATTTACAATTTTTTTTTATTAATGATTTTACAAATCATACACAAAAGAATAATGAAATAAATAAAGATCTTCAGGGACGTTAAGAAACTGTTTCATGAAAAAGATCTTCAGGGACGTTAAGAAACTGTTTCATGAAAATTTTATTCAATGACACATATATGCATAAAAGAAAACGCCAATTTGGACATAGCCAAGGTTAAAACTCTTCTCAACAAATTGTAGAAAATTCAATTGTATTAAAAAAAGGCATAATATTTTATATTTCTTTTTTTAATTAATAATATTACCTTTCCACTACTCGGAGGTTCTTGAATATAGATGTTACTCATTTTTAACTTCAGAAGGAAGTTTAGAGAGATAAAACACACCCAAAACACAGACTACAGTTTTTAGATAGGCATGAAAAAAATAACGAAAAACCAATAACTTAGAGTAGAGTTTGCGTCTTAATGGAATAAGTTTTCTTATATCCTTCAAGTTTTTTAGAATATATAATATTCGCTTATATTTGTTTACATTTCATTACGTGCGCATTCATCTGCCTATTTTTACAACTCACAACCTCCCTTTAGAGATGCAGTTAAAAAAATAAAAGTTTCAACTAAATGACACAACTGCTAAGGAAGATTTTATTGAAATCATTGATAAATCAAGTAAGGGAAGGTATATTTATCTTGAGACTATATAAATATTTAAATTTAATAGTTATTGCAGCTTTCTAGCATTTAAGGAATTTATAATAAATTAATTTTATTTATAACTAATGTAGTTTCGTTGAGATGGCAATACACACAAATCAACTAAATGAGTAGAAAAGAAAATATTACTTTTCTTTTCTGCCTCTCTACTATAAGTGTTGCTGCAGTTTCTTTCATTCCTTTTAATTTTTATGGAGTTGTTCTGAATTGACACGGTAAAATAATTATGTAATTCACTAAAGAAACAGTTAATTTAAATGCTATTTGTTTAAACAACGTTGATATTCAATGGCTAAGTTGTGAAAAGTTAGATAAATAAACAATGTTTGTTATTATTTATGTTTCAGAAATTTGAACTTTTACTACTTCTGAAATAATTAGCTGTGTTTATTAATGATGTATTTTTTTAAATTAATGTTATGTTTCGAAATTATTTTGGTAATTTTTTGTAGCTGACTGTGTTAATTAATATTTTATTATCAAAGACGATTGTGTTAAAAACTTAGATTGATAAAAAAAAAAGATGTTTTATATTTTGAATAATTATCGTTTTTGTTGTCTAATCAAAAGTGTTAGATTTGCATTTAACAGTTAATGAGTTTTTAAAATTTTTTGCATTACGAAAAGATTCTAATAAGAATATAAAATGAAAATATAAAAATTCTTATAAGTATCTAGAGCAATGAGAGAGTTATTGAATATATTTGCTTTTTTTCTGATGAAGGCAAAACTAATCTATGAGCATACTCATTTTTATTATTTTGTGAAGTGTGATTTTTCTTTAAGGGGGGGGGGAGTATATCAATCTATTAATTGGTATCCAGAATTTAAAATTTTATGTAATTTTGATAATTTTATTGCCTTTTTCATGTATCTAGCTAATAATTTATCGATCATTTATTACTTATAACTGATAATGAATTAGAATAATCTGTGTTTTTGAAATCCGGATTTAGTGGAATAATAAACAGAAATTGTTATTGTAAAGTTATAGGCCCAGACAAACATGTACCCATCTATCTCAATCAAGCTGTTGAACCAGAGTCTTTCACAATGTCAGCACAGTGCCCTAATCACTGTGTCAGCGCATTTCAAAATTACAGTACATTTTACTTTGAAATTTAGCTTACAAATTTTGGCTGTGGAATAATTTGTTGACAAAAACATTAATATAAATCTAATTTCTGTCTGTTTTACACTCCAAAAAGTTCAAAATTAATAGTAACATATAACAGCACCTATTACTTCTAATTAATCCTTGGATTTTTAATAATCATTTGATTCTAAAGACTTATTGGAATTTAAGCCAATTGAATTAAAAAACTCGTGTACTTGGTCACTAATTTTTCTGATTTTCTTTGGCTTATAGGTTATAAGAATATGATTTTCTTAATTATTATCTAAAGACTTTAAGTTTTTAATTTGAAACTATTCATCTACTTAAATAAAATTAAGGATTTAAATCATAGTTATCAAATTTTAAATTAAAAATGCAGCAAATATGTTTTTCAAAATGTTTGAAAATTATTAGGAATATTTTTGGTATAGGACCGTTATCAATGAAATGCTATTACCGAAAACAAATATAAAACCCATAGATAAAGAAATTAAAATTAAAGGATCCCATCTATATCTCAATGAAAGTGTGATTTCCCAGTGAGACTGTGATAACGGTAGAATTAGTAATATCACCTACAACTGGACACCAGATGGAAATCGACTGAGAGGATGCCCAAAACTGATGTGGCGCAGAATGATGGAGAAAGAGGAATAAGGTTGGGTGGACCAGTTGGTAGGAAGCAAGAGTTACCACGTGGCTGAATCGCGGCGATATTGTTGCAGAACGTTGAAGTTTTTAGAGAAGATTTTTTCTTTGGGAACTAAAGAAATTTGGTATCTTTTCTGCAAATTTTTTTTTTATCCATATTTATATTCGAAAGATGCGTTTCTCGCTTATCAAAGGGGAAAGAGATGCTCATGATTTTTCCTATTCTCATATGAGAATAGGAAAAATCATAATTACTTCATTGGGAATTGTTTACTTCATTATGAAAAACATTATTACAGTGTTGTTACATTGTTTACTTCATTATGACAGTGACTGGCTTAAGCTAAAATTTAATATCAGTAATATATTTTTTAAAAAAATGAAATCACAAAAGCTTAAAAAATGTTTCTTTCATTTTTTTAAAGAGCACCTTATTTTACATTTTAATAAAATTTGACTGTGATTGCGGATTTTTTTACAAATTAAAATTTGTAGTAAAATAATGCCCCTCTTTTTTTTCTTGGTTTGTTTGTAATAAAATCGATTCTATATTTTCAATATATTACGCACATGAAAATATCAAATCATGCATTTGAGTCTTCACGACTTGTGTTGATTCCATCGTAAATATATGTAGTGTTTTGATTATCTTTTTGAGCAATTATTGTAACAAATTTTTACTTGTTTTTTTTTTGGAAATCCATATGCCTTTTATTGCTCAGTTATTAATATTTACATGATTTTTATAAAAAAGTCTGATATTATTACGGAACCTGAAGTTCGAATTGCGGATTCAATAAATAACTTTCTAACAAGCTAGATTTTCACAGATATCCTCGTTAATCCATACGGTGTTTTAATTTTTTTTTTATAGCTATTGCTTTGAATTTTGACATTTTCCTATAAAATTTTTTTTATTATACATAGAACTTAAATCACTTATTTGATTATTTACTTATAATCTGACGAATGCATTGTTTAATTGGCTGTTTGTTTCTAGTGCTACCAAATTCACCGGGTTTTGTAAAATTTCGGTTATTTTTCAGTTAATATTATGTCTACACTTAAAATTTCAATCATGCTTTTAATTAAACACTTTTTAACATGCTCAAATTATGCCGATAACATCATAAATCAATGAAGTATTTCGATTGTGTTTTTGTCAGTTATTGATATTGATTTTCACATGATTTTTAAATATATCGATTAATTTCTGACAATATAAGAAATTTGAATATTTAGTTTTTAATGCAATGATTCTATCGATATTTTTTTCGACAGCAACCTAAACTCGCATTACACACACATTTAGTAACCCATTTTTCAAGAGTCCAATCGGCTTAATTTTTCCTCCAAGCTTTTTTTCATTAGTTACTGATACGGATTTCACGATTCTTTTTTCCCCCTCTTTTTTTATGTGATGATTTATGAAAAATGGAATAATTAGTGTGTTCCACCTCCCTTCCAAAATGCGGGAATATCCCCATAATATTGAAATAAAGAATGTTACATATTCAATGAAAATAATTATATACAATTTTATTTTATCTGAATAGGCTTTTTTTGTAAATACAACACTTTTGCAACTTTAAGTTAATAACATGTACATTTGTTATTATTTAAAGTATCGTGCAAAAAAATATTAGTGCAAGAGAGGTTTGTCGCAGAAATCCCGAAAAAATTCTGCCATGGGGGACTGCGGCTAACAGGGAAAAGTAAAGAATAAAACTGAGAGCCTTATATACCATAGAGCATGAAAAGAGATGATCAAACTTGATTTAGTTGAATTTAATTTTTTTTATTAGGCTGTTAGTTTCTATTGATGTATTATTCTCGTGGAGTTTTGCATTACACAAGTAATACAGTACTAAGTCCCAGATCTGTACATTTATCCATTTACCAAAAGCATCTATTTTCTTGACACTTTTTATCAATCATGATTTACTTATAATTTTTTTTTCTTCAAAAAAATGAAATCTTTTTTTTCTTTGTGTTTGAATTAAAGAAAAATCAACTTTCATAAGAAAAATAAACTGTGAATATTAATGAAGCTCAATATTAAAAGTGTTAGAAAAGAACATGAGCAGGCAATCTTTAAAATGTAATTAAGTTACACTTAAATATTTCCGTAAAAAAATTCTACTCAAATCTGTTACTTGTTTTATATGTTTTTATTAAATCAGATTATTTTACTTGTTTTATCATACATTTACTGATTATCATCTTTGCTATTTCTTTGCATCAAATTAAAAAAAAAAAAAAGGGAGGAAAATGTTTCTTTATTCATCTAAAGGAAATTTCAAACTATTGCTTGCACATTTTATTTGTTTTTATGTGCATAGGGTGACCCGGGGTAATTCACGATCACTCTGTTTCTAGGGTAAATAATGATCACCTAAGTTTTATTTTTAAAAAAATTATTTTTTTTAAAATTTGAGATATGGACAGGAATGCTTGTAAACTTTACTAAAGTATAACTACATTTACTTAATAATAATTTTTTATTTAATCTAACAAAATAAGTATCTTTTAAAATGCTTTCTGCATTTTCCATTTCAAAGATGGGTTTCAAAATGTGCACATTTCTGCAGAGATCTCCCCCTTCTCTTAATAATAAATATTTTGAGTTACTTTCTTTTTCTTTGATATAAAAATAGTGTAAGCTTTTGTTTCATTGTCTCACATCTACTGTAAACATTATAATTGATTATAGGAAATTATATCAAATTTTGCCCCCTACAGATGGGGTAATTATTGATCACTGGGGTAATTCCTGATCATTTTCATTTCTTCTTATAAATAGTATAAAGAATAGCTAATAAATAGTTAATTGTCCTTTCTTAAATAACAGTTCATATTTATTAAGTGGAACAACTATAAAATCCATTTTAACTATAATCACAAAATTTGTTTTTAACTGTATATAAGACAAATGTGTTCTGATATACACCATTTCTAGCTTGTCTTACCTTTCTTCTATCTTAATTTTATGTGTGTTCATTGTTAGAATAATTTTTAAGTTGATAAATTAACCTAATATAAATATGGTGAGAAATTATAAGCCAGAAAAGGATACTAAGCTTCTAGAAAGCAAAAATAGCAAATTTCTTTTAATGATTGAAAATGAAAATTTCAGTGTGAGAGCTGCTGCCACAGCTGAAGTGTTAATTCCTACTTTTAAATAAACATTTTAATAGCTGCTTAAAAATATCTTTTTGGTTCATTTGTTTGATCTTAATGTCTTATTTGTTAATTACCATTGTATAATTATTTTTAAACAGCCCATTTACTATAAAAACTGGTGATCAGTAATTACCCCAGAAATGATCAGGAATTACCCCAGAATTGATCAAGAGACGGGGTAATTCCTGATCACTAAAAATTTAAAATCTTTTAAATTCTAATTAGATTTT